CCTCTATCTTCAAAGCACATCTCCCTTTTGTGCTCTCTGACTGACCCTGCTGCCTTCCTCTTTTAAGGACCCTTGTTGGGCCTATTCAGTAATCCAGAATAATCTTACCATCTCAAGATTCTTTTTTTTTCCCTTTTTTAAGATGGAGTCTCACTCTATCACCCAGGCTGAAATGCAGTGGCATGATCTTGGCTTACTGCAACCTCTACCTCCTGGGTTCAAGCTTTTTTCCTGCCTGAGCCTCCTGAGAGGTGGGACTACAGGCACACACCACCATGTCTGGCTCATTTTTGCATTTTTATTATAGACTGGGTTTCACCATGTTGGCCAGGGTAGTCTCAAACTTCTAACCTCAAGTGATCTGCCTGCCTCGGCCTCCCAAAGTGCTGGGGATTATAGGCATGACCTACGATGCCTGGCCTCCATCTCAAGATTCTTAGGTGAAGCCTATCTGCTGCAGAGTCTCTTTTTCCATGTAAGATATATTCACGGGTTCTGAGGATTAGGATTTGGACGTCTTGGGGAATTATTCTACCACTTTGTCTTATTGGTATCATTTATGAATTTCTTGTATCTCTCAATCCTTTGACATAACTGTATAAATTTTATACTACATTATTGAAATCAGCCTTTTTTTTGAGACGGAGTTTCCCTCTTGTTACCCAGACTGGAGTGCAATGGCAGGATCTCGGCTCACCACAACCTCCGCCTCCTGGGTTCAAGCAGTTCTCCTGCCTTAGCTTCCCAAGTAGCTGGGACTACAGGCGCACACCACCATGCCCAGCTAATTTTTGTATTTTTAGTAGAGACGGGGTTTCACCTTTTTGACAAGGATGGTCTCGATCTCTTGACCTTGTGATTCACCCGCCTTAGCCTCCCAAAGTGCTGGGATTATAGGCGTGAGCCACCACGCCTGGCCTGAAATCAGCCTTTTACTTGGATCTTTTACATCTATAACCACAAATGAAACTGATCAATACTTTCTTTTTTTTTTTTGAGACGGAGTTTCGCTCTTGTTACCCAGGCTGGAGTGCAATGGCGCAATCTCACTCTCCACAACCTCTGCCTCCCTGGTTCAGGCAATTCTCCTGCCTCAGCCTCCTGAGTAGCTGGGATTACAGGCACATGCCACCATGCCCAGCTAATTTTTTGTATTTTTAGTAGAGACGGGGTTTCACCATGTTGACCAGGATGGTCTCGATCTCTTGACCTCGTGATCCACCCGCCTCGGCCTTCCAAAGTGCTTGGATTACAGGTGTGAGCCACCGCGCCCAACCTAATACTTTTCTTTTGGCCTGTCTTTATCGAAATTTTTTTCTTTTCTCTTTTTTTTTTTTTGAGACATTCTTGTTCTGTCACCCAGGCTGGAGAGCAGTAGTGCAATCTCAACTCACTGCAACCTCTGCCTCTGGGTTCAAATGATCCTCCATCCTCAGTCTCCCAGTAACTGGAAATACAGGTGTGCACCACCACACCCAGCTAATTTTTGTCTTTTTGTAGAGAAGGGGTTTTGCCATGTTGCCCACGCTGGTCTCAAACTCCTGGCCTCAAGTAATCTTCCCACCTCAGCTTCCCAAAGTGCTGAGATTACAGGCATGACCCACCATGGCTTGCTATGTCTTTAATAAATTTTATGCCAGTTAGACAAAAATTCATTGGAGAGCACATATAAATTGGATATAAATAAATTGAATAATCATTATTAGTTCACAAATTAGCTAAAATTGAGCTATAACCATCTGGGTATGGTACCTTTTTAATTGAACATACTTCAAAATATCAAATAAAATAAAGCATTTCATATGGTTATTCTGTTCAGATTTTCTATCTCAGTAATAATGATTTAAATTTCTTCTTCTTTTTTTTTTTTTTTTTAGATGGAGTTTTGCTGTTGTTACCCAGACTGGAATGCAATGGCACAATCTCGGCTCACTGCAACCTCCGCCTCCTGGATTCAAGCAATTCTCCTGCCTCAGCCTCCCGAGTAGCTGGGACTACAGGTGCGCACCACCATGCCCTGCTAATTTTTGTATTTTTAGTAGAGACGGGGTTTCACCTTGTTGACCAGGATGGTCTCGATCTCTTGACCTCGTGATCCACCCGCCTCGGCCTCCCAAAGTGCTGGGAATATAGGTGTGAGCCACTGCACCCGGCCAATGATTTAAATTTCATTAGAAAATCTACAATTTCCTCTACCATGGTTATAGAGTTGTATATAACAGCCTCAAAATTCTTTTAAACCCCGGGCTGGGCACTGTCTCATGCCTGTAATCCCAGCACTTTGGGAAGCCAAGGCAGGCAGATCACCTGAGGTCAGGTGTTCGAGACCAGTCTGGCCAACATGATGAACCCTTGTCTCTACTAAAATTTAGCCAGGTGTGGTGGTGGGCACCTGTAATCCTAGCTACTTGGGAGGCTGAGGCAGGAGAATCCCTTGAACCTGGGAGGCGGAGGCTGCGGTAAGCTGAGACCGCCTGACTGCACTGTAGCCTGGGCAACAAGAACAAAACTCAATCTCAAAAAAAAAATTCTTTTAAACTCTATATCCATGGGGTTTTTTCCCCTCATTTCTGATGTTTTTGCTTTATTTCACTCTTACCAGTCTTATGTTTCACTTATCTTTTAGTACTAAATTGTGGATTTTTAAATTTTGGTCTAGTATTTTGTTTTCTAGTTTGTAAACTAGAAATACTTAAGAATTTTTTTTTATTTAATAAAATGTAAAAAGTAATGTTTCACAAGAAAGAAACGATAATGGCCAAAAATATAAGGGACTATTTTTTAACCTAAAAGTCACAGTTACACATACTAGAAATAAACGACTGTTAACAATGTGTTACTAACTTTACAAATATCATTGCCAAAGTGTCTACGTTTCTGTTATTTATATATATATATGTATATGTATTTTGAGACCATGTCTTACTCTATCGTCAGGCTGAAGTGCAGTGGCTTGATCTCGGCTCACTGCAACCTCTGCCTCCCAAGTTTAAGCGATTCTCTTGCTCAGCCTCCCAAGTAGCTGGGACTACAGGTGCGTGCCACCATGCCCAGAGAATTTTTGTATTTTTGTTTTTTTTTTTTTTTTTGAGACAGAGTTTCGCTGTTGTTACCCAGGCTGGAGTGCAATGGCACAATCTCGGCTCACCGCAACCTCCGTCTTCTGGGTTCAAGCAATTCTCCTGCCTCAGCTTCCGGAGTAGCTGGGACTACAGGCACGCACCACCATGCCCAGTTAATTTTTGTATTTTTAATAGAGACAGGGTTTCACCTTGTTGACCAGGATGGTCTCGATCTCTTGACCTTGTGATCCACCTGCCTCGGCCTCCCAAAGTGCTGGGATTATAGACGTTAGCCACCGCGCCCGGCCAATTTTTGTATTTTTAATAGAGACAGGGTTTCGCCATGTTGGCCAGGATGGTCTGGATCTCTTGACCTCGTGATCCTCCCGTCTCCACCTCCCAAAGTGCTAGGATTACAGGCGTGTCCAGTCTATTTGTAACATTTTAAAATACAGTATTACATGGTTTATTTTAGTAGCACTTTTCCATGTCCTCAAGTTATTTCTCAAACATACTTCTGTCATTAAACATCCTTCTGCAACTTAATCCTAAAATAATGACGTTGCATCCCACTACATTGCTATTCCATTATTTCCACTGCAGACCCAAGGTTATCCCTCATCCTCCTCCAGTCCCTTGCCGGTGACTGCTCCGCTAAGCCACATCCTCAAACCGCTAGGCCAGGTCATTTCCCAGACACCTTCCAGGAAAGCCTGTGGCCTGGCCCGAACAGAAATTAGTGACTTAAATGCTAAGATGCCAGAAGACCTGGACTGGGAAGTGAATTCCCAGCCCAAACTTAGCCACCCGGCGGTATCGGGATTGTGGCACAGGTGAGCGAAGTCTCAGGTCTGGGCTAACTCCTATTTGGTGGTTAGGCCAGGAGTCGCCCTCTCCTGATCCCGCCCCAGAGTGCGACTCACTATGGAGGGAACCCTGTGTGGTCCGCTCCCTGGCTTTTCACTGCACTTCTGAGAGGCCACTGGGAATACACACACAAACCCCACTCCCTGACCCTCCTTTTGGGGCGAGGGCGGCTGCAGCCGGGTTAACTTCGCGGACTCCGGAAGCTTTGGCGGCGGGCCGGGCCGTCACCTACAAGGTTTGCGGTTACATTTTTCTGAATCCTCCACAGACCCACACCCTTTATCTAGCCCTTGGCGGCCACCTTTTGCTGCCTGGGCCTGTGTGTTCGGTCCTGGGAGGTTGCTCGGGCGCGGCTGGGCACTCTGTCCTCGTCTTCACTGGAGGTGGGGACCGTGGTGTAGTCCCGGCCGCAGGCGGGCCCCCACCTCTGGACTACATTTCCCAGGGAGCCCCGCGGCCGAAGTAGGCTGGTCCGCGTGAGTTGGCCGGAGTTGGAACGCAAAGGGCGGGAACGTCCCTGGCTGCGGAGCTCACTGGGTTGGGACATACTCGTTTAGACCCGAGTGCTGGGACGCCGAAGGGGCGGTGAGGTGTCCCGGCGCGGGGCTGGGGTCGTCTGGAGTTTAAAAGACAGGTGGCTCTCGGAGATGTGCGGGCGGGCTGCATGCCCGCGCTTCACCGCGAAGGCAAGTCAGGACTGTGCGTTGGGGAAAGGAGAGAGTGTCTGGGCCGTGCAGTCGGGATGGCCGGGGAGTGTCAGGGCCGCTGGCCCCGCTCAGGAGACAACAGTGTCGGGTAGCGAGCGGGCAGGGAGTGTGTGTGGTGAGGCTGGCGCAGGAGCGGGCTGGTAATGTTAGGAGGTTTGGGGTATCACAACCTTGCCTCCTCCTGACTGGACTAAAAGTCCGTGCCGTTCTCCCTGGATGTGGATTGTGCGCCCGGCGTCAGGAGCTCGGCGACTTGTGCCCGCGGTGCCCGCGGTGCCCGCGGGGCTGTGGTGGGAGCCCTGTCTGCGCAGGATTCTGTGTGGCTGTACATGTGAGTGTATGTGCGCGCGCGAGCCCCTGGGGCCAGGTCGTCGACCCCACCTTTGGGAGGCCTGGGAGGGGGCGGGCGCCCTCGCTGTACATTCTGGGGATACGTTGGGCGGGGTCTGCCGGTGGAAAAGTCCTGGGCTTCCACCCAAAACCCCAACTGCGGCTGGTCTGTAGGTAGTGAATCTCTGAATGGCCTTCCGGCCACCCGGCCTATCTCTGGTGTGGGTTGAGGGTGGAGATTGTTCTAGGGTTTGGGCCTGGGGAGTCCCTGCTATATCCTCTTCTTTGTTCTTTCACCCTGTAGCCACCAGGCATCTAGGCCCATAAAGGTGCCCCCGGCCTAAAGAATAGGAGTTTGAGATCCTGTTGGTGGATCCACTTAAGCTGTGTCTTGGCACCACAGATTTTTGGGCTCAGTGTAAGACGCTAGGCCTGAAAGTTCCCCAAATTAGGTCCTTATTTATGGAGGAAGAAGGCAACGGTCTGAGGAGCTTTCCCAGGACTCCTCTCTGGGCTTCTAAGGTCACCTGCGTTTCTTTGTGAGGATAACAGAGGGCATTGGAGTTGCAGCTTTTTTAGACTCCCTCTCAGTGCTTGGGGTGGGGCAGGAGTTTGGCCTCCCAAGGGGTTCAGGGAAGGATTGTTGTCTTACAGTTTCTTAACCTTTTTCCACCTCTTTTTTTAAGAACCCAGAAGAGGAGAGAACTGCTGTGCATCTGAAGTGATGGTGGAGGTAAGTTGCATTTGACATTTTCTTCTTGGGAAAGACTTACTGGTTTTCAGGACAGTGTCCTATTTCGGAAATTTATCCAAAAGATTTATCATGATTTGGAGAAAGGGGAAGAGGGGAGGAAACTGCATTTATGGAGCATTTTCCTAAAGCAGCCCAGGGCTATTTTTCAAATGTTGTCTCATCTGATCTAGAATTTCTGCTTACTTGGATTTTGTTCATGCTCATAAGAGTGTTGACAGAAACCATGCCTCAGTGATTTGACAGGGAAACTGAAGAACAGAATTAGCTTTTTCAGTCTCACTAATTTTGTTGTCCCCTCCATGGTCACATGCAATAGCCATTTTGCTTATAAATTTCTTTTCTTTTTTTTTTTTTTTTTTGAGACAGAGTCTCGTTCTGTCACCTAGGCTGGAGTGCAGTGGCGTGATCTCGGCTCACTGCAACCTAAGCCTCCCAGGTACAAGTGAGTCTCCTGCCTCAGCCTCCCGAGTAGCTGAGATTACAGGCACCTGCCACTAGGCCTGGCTAATTTTTGTATTTTTAGTAGAGATGGGGTTTCACCATGCTGATCTTGAGCTCCTGAGCTCAAGCAGTTCCCAGCCTCCCAAAGTGCTGGGATTACAGGTGTGAGCCACCTCACCCGGCCCACTTATCAATTTATTTTCTTTCTTTTTTTTTGAGGTGGAGTCTCGCTCTGTCACCCAGGCTGGTGTGCAGTGGTGGGATCCCTGCGCAATGCAACCTCCACCTCTCAGGTTCAAGCAATTCTCCTGCCTCAGCCTCCTGAGTAGCTGAGATTACAGGCTCAGGCCACCACGCCTGGCTAATTTTTGTATTTTTAGTAGGGATGGGGTTTCACCATGTTGGTCAGTCTGGTCTTGTACTCCTGATCTCGTGATCCACCCACCTCAGCCTCCCAAAGTGCAGAGATTACACACGTGAGCCACCGCGCCCAGTCTCAATTTCTTAGAGACTGCAGTGTCTGCCTGTCCAGTTTATCTCCATATATTTTTTCCTCAAGATAGAAATAACGTGAATACCCTCTTATGATTAAGTGATATACAATTTTTGCAAAAGTTTCAAAACTTGAGGGAGTCATTTAAGAAAGTTTAAATCACCTATCCATGGTCCCTCCATCCAGATAGTCACTATTAATGTTTTCAAATTATTTTGTCTGCTCATATGTGTGAGATCATGTGATTTGTTTTTCAGGGTGGGTTCATACGACTAATAAAAGTAGCTAACTTATTGAGCATGCACTTTGAACCACTTAGAGTTGGACATTCTTTACAGATGTGATCTTGTTTACTCCACATAACAGCCCTATCAGACAGGTATGACTATATTTCATTAATTCTCTGATGCACTTTTTTCCACATTTTAACCTCTCTGAAATCAAAAGGGGCTTTACAAAAATTCTTGGCAAGTGATAGTTTTATTGATGGCATTTATTTTCTTTCCTAGTATATGAAGTTACAGTGGCATTATAATCAGTGACACCTCAGACTTTTTGAAATGGAGTATTATTCTAGTTTGACAACTGAGGAAATCAAGTCATTCGCCTCAAAGTTAAAAAATGACAGAGCTGGGATTTCTAACTAACCTACTGAGTTCCTTTGCCCGCTTGTCAAAGAATGCTGTCTTTTTTGGTTTATTTTAAACAAGTTCATATGTTCAGCATATTTTCTATTTATCATTTATAAGTTGTTTTAGAAATGTTTTTTCACAGCTAATCTATTTTGTGTGCTTTTAGATTCATTTAGTTTTCAGAAATGTATTCAGATAAATCAACTCCTTCCTTAAATTTACTTCCCTTTGTCCTATCCCAGATGGTCTTCCTTACCATAAAAATAGAATAGTTACTTTTATATTTTCCTAAAATACTTTTTGTCTTTTATCCAAACAATCTAGTATTTAAGATATTTGATGTTATATCTGACTAGAGACTGTTGGCTATAAAATTCCAAATTTGGAGTGTTTATTTGGATTTTTTTATGTTACTTTGGAGTAACATATTTTAAAGCGTGGCATGGTATTTGTAGGCTGTGAAATTTAAGGGTGTTTTTTTTCCCTAGATATGTCTGAATGTGGCACTTACTTCATTAATTCTGGCCAGTCCTCAAGAATTAATTGCTTTCAATCTAAGACTAAAGAAACATATTTTTTCTATTCTGAATTAATCTGTTTCTTTCTCTTTTACTTTTCTTTAGAATTAAGTAAGAATTTATTGAGTTTCTCTTCCCATTCCCATAGAGGCCAAAACCTTTCTAAGATTGTCAGAAGATCGCCACACCTTCCCCATCCATTCTCTGCACATCCGTGGGGAGGGAGCTTCAGTTCCCTTCACCCTTTAACTCTTCACTGTTTATTTCTCCCTGTATATTCTCCTCTCCTGAAAATATTCATTGTCCTTTGTCCCTGCTAATGGGATGCTGTGCACTGCAATAAAAGGGTAGAATGTTAGCCCATTTCTGCCATTTGCTTGCTCTGTGACCATGGGCTTCCTTATAATTTCTCTGTATAATGTGATCTTAACAGTTTGGGGAATGTGATGATAATGGAAATTCACCTGTGCTTACACTGGCAACCTCGGGTCCCCTAGTCCTACCTTCTGGTCTCCCCAACATCAAGTGAAGTTCCCAATTTCATTGCTTCTTTTTTCTTTCTGTTCTATGAGCTTATACCCTAGGGCCACACTCTAATGTCTTTTGCCTTGTAAGAGTAGATACTCTCTATGTTGACCTGATTGGGCTCCCTAGCTCCACTTTTACTCTTTGCCAATAAGATAGTCCAGTAATGGACTAATCTTTTGTTCAGTGAATCCCTGTTACTTTCAGGGTAAATCTCCAACTCTTTGACATTCATTGCATATTTACTAAAAAAACACATTCTGCATTTAACAGAGCACGAAGCCTAGTATTGGAGTAAAGTGGAGAGTAAAGATGACGTGTTTAGTCCTGGCAGGTATCACCTGTCATTCAAAACATTTCCATCCTGATCCACAGATCTCTGTGGAGTTCTCCAGTATCACTTCTCTCTACTCCTCTCCCAGAACCCCTCATCAGTTATCCCAGGTAACTTTCTGCTCCTCAGAAACACAGGATGCAATTGGTCTCCCTTCTTACCTCCAACTTCTGCTCACTCTGCTTGGAATGCTGCTCAGTCTGTTTTCTGCTTGTTGGAATTCCATTCCTTTTCTGAGTCCCAGTTAATCTTCTACATGTTATGTGAAACTTTCCCCTACCCCTCAAACTACATAAGTCACTATTTCCTCATTTCCTATAGCAAGATTCTTCTTTTAATTGGAGGCAACATATCCTGCTTTAAAACCCCTCAGTTAATTCTTTTAACCTGTCAGGACAAGTATAAATGTCTCAGGATCTCATCCTTTTTTTCAGCCTCATCTCTCTGCTCCCTCTCTGACTCTACCCTAGTTACGTTAAACTACTAGGAGTTCTCAGAATACACAGTCTATCTCATGCCTCCATTGCACAAGAAACACAAGAAGGCCGTTTATCCTTCACCACCTCTTTCTCTGGGTTCTACTGAATCTAGGTCAAGAACCATTGTCTATGAAGCCTGCATCAGTCTTATGGTTGGGCTTGATCCCAATTACTGTCTCTCTTAATCTCTTACAGTCTTTAGTGTCTTCTTTTTTTCTTTTTATTCTTTTTTTGAGGTGGAGTTTCACTTTTGTTACTCAGGCTGGAGTGCAATGGTGCAATCTTGGTTCACTGTAACCTCCGCCTGCAGGGTTTCAGCTATTCTCCTGCCTCAGCCTCCCGAATAGCTGGGATTACAGGCATACACTACCACACCTGGCTAATTTTGTGTTTTTTAGTAGACACAGGGTTTCTCCGTGTAGGCCAGGCTGGTCTTGAACTCCTGACCTTTGGTGATTTGCCTGGCTTGGCCTCCCAAAGTGCTGGGATTACAGGCATGAGCCACCGTGCCTGGCCTGTAACTTTTTAAAACTACTTTTATTAAATATTGAATAGTAGAACATGTGTAACATATTACTGGGGACTGAACACCCATGTTAAGAGGTAGAATGTTAATGTTAAAATTCCCATGTGTGCTTTGATCATCCCAATCCAACTCCCCTTCTGTAGCTGTCAGAGGTATCTGTTATTCTGAATTTTGTGTTTTGCATTTCCTTTTTTTTCTTTATAGTCTTAACCATATGTGTTTGTTTTCCTGTTTCAATTTGATGTAAAGAAATCGTATTGTTTGGATTCTTCTGCAACTCTATTACTTGTTTTCCAACGAGTGTTCAGGAGATTCATTCACATTGCAAACTTATCCTACTGTATAGCTATCCATTGTATGAACATATTTTTTCACGTGTATTGTGTACATTACTCCTGTGAACATTCTTGAACTCTTCTTTTTGTATACTGTGCAAGAATTTCTGTAAGTATGTAACTAGAAATGGACTTGCTAGGTCATAGGTTATAGGCATTTTCAACCTTACTACATATTCCCCAGTTGTTTTCTAAAGTGTTTATTATACTCATTTATAATTCCTGTTACTTCATATCTTCACCAACACTTAGTATTACTAAACATTTAAATTTTTACTCGCTTGGGTATGAATGGGTATATATTATTCTGATTTCAAACTTGCATATTTTGGTACTAAATGAGGTCGAGCCCCCCACCCCACTTTTATGCTTATTGGCATTCATGTTTTCCTTTCTCCAAAGTATAATTTTATGTCATTTCTGATTTTTCTATTGGTTTTTATATTTCCAGGGTTTTTGTTCCATTTAATGCTTTGTATGCGTGTCTTAAATATTGTGGATTTTCATCCTTCTCAGTTATATGTACGGTGCATGCTTTCTAACTGTAATCTTTAAATGATGGTAGAAATTCTCAATTTTAATGCCATCAAATTTAACACTATTTATTTACGTCTTGTATATGATATCTCTCTTCTCCTAAGAGTGAAGATATTCTCCCTATTTTCTATAAATGATTTATTTTGCCTTTTGTGTTTA